GGGTTTAGGGTTTAGGGCTAGGGGTGTAAGGTTTTTAAGGTTTAGGGCTCAAGGTTAGGGGGTCTAGGTTTAGGGTATAAGGTTCAAGTCTAGGGGTTCCAAGTTTCCGGTTTAAGGTTCAGGGTCAGGGGTTCTAGGTTGACGGTTTAAGGTTCAAGGTAAGGGTTCTAGGCTTAAGGTTTAAGGTTCAAAGTTAGGGGTTTAAGGGTTTCAGGTTTAAGGTTTAAGGTTAGGGGTTCGGGCATGGGGTTTAGGGGTTTACAGGTTGAGATTTATTGTGCCAGGTTTACGGTTTAGGGTTTGGGGTTCAGGGTTTAGGGTTAGAAATTGAGGGAAGTGCCAATTAAGGCTTGCCCGTGACCCCCGGAACAGCTTCAAGGCCACATATATATATATATATATGGATATACGTATATATACATATACATATATATATATATATGTGTTTTTTATAGATAGACTCTTGCATTTAAAGAGCATCTACACTTAAAGCGCAGGTTCCGTAGTAGGGTTGAGGCAAGAGGTAGGGTGCAGGTTTCAGGGTTCGGGGCCCAAGGTCTTCCACTTCATCTGAAACTCGCTAGGGTTTAGGGTTTAGGGTTTAGGGTTTAGGGTTTAGGGTTTAGGGTTTAGGGTTTAGGGCTGCTGCTAGCCTGGTACTGTTGGTAGCAAATAATACGCACACTAGTGCCTAACAATATGTATACAGTAGAAGCCAGAAATTTGGAACATCATTATCCTCATGCCCTAAAGGTAGAGTAGAGGGAATCCCAGCGATAATCATCCTAAATGCATTTCTAACTTTCTGGCATTCACTATAATACGAAGAGCACTTATACCGGCTGGAGTTGAGGATTTGAAGTTGACAGGTTAGACCCTCGAAATCCTAAGCCCGCAGGAGACTTTGTAATTGCGCACGCCCAACTAGATTTGCCCCCTTTCAACTCTACATATAACTCCAATATGCGGGGGTTGGAGGTCATTTGAACCCCAAAACCAGTAATCCTAAACCCACGCTTAAACACAACCGAAGGAAGGTATGGGCATGCATAGTAAGACCCCTAAACCCTAAACCCCTGAAACCCTAAACCCTAAATCCTAAACCTAAACCCTAAACAGACTTAGAAGGGTTTCAGGCAATTGGTACTCTCAATGCTCGGCGGATACCCAGAGGGGTTAGTCCTGAGTTTAGCCCTCAAGCAAGCCTACAACCTAAAATCCTGAACCCTAAACTCCCAAACCTTAATCCCCAAACCTCCACACTAAACCCTAAACCCTAAACCCAAGAAGTCCTAACCGTAGGAGTCTCTTTAAACAATTCCTTGGGGCTGGGAACCGCTTCACATATCCCTCGCCCGAGCCCCTAAACCCTAAACCCTAAACCCTAAACACTTAAACCCTGAAACCTTTAAGCCCTTAAGCCCTAAACTCTAAACCCTAAACCCTAAACCCTAAACCCTAAACCCGAGGCCCCGGGCGCAGTCTCCACGTCGGGCCCTGGCGTCGTCGAGGCGATCAGGGCTTTAGGGCTCAGCAGCTACCCAGGGGCTCCAATGTAGTTCCTTTTTGGGTCTGTTATTGTTTTTTGGTAAGGAATTATAGTATACTATCCAAAAAGGAACTACATAGGAGCCCTCGAGTAGGGTTATAAATAAGGTAACTACA